TGTGTGCTCTGTGTGGCATCATCTCAGCATTTGCCACAGTCCTGAAGAGCAAACCCCCCTGCAAACCTGCCAAGGTATGTGGTGTTCCAGGGGATGGCTCAGCACCTGCACACAGCCAGCCTTCTGTACCTTGAGAGCACTCATGTCACTGTCATATTTTCTGGAAAAATCTCTTTGGCAGGATTTCTTCTGGGAAGCTGAGAAGCCTCAGGGAAAAATGGAAACAATAATTATAGAATTTGCTTCTCCTGTGTTTTCCTGCTTTGGACTGTGGTTTGGAGATTTTTATCCAACATATGAATGGTTTTGACTTAATGACCAATCACTGTCCAGCTGTGTCGGACTCTGGAAGGAATCACAAGTTTTCATTAGTATCTTTTTAAGCCTTCTGTAAGTATCCTTTCTCTATTCCTTAGTATAGTTTTAGTATAGTATAGTATAGTATAGTATGATATAGTATAGTATGATGTAGTAATTAGCCTTCTAAGAACGTGGAGTCAGATTCTCAATTCCTCATTCGTCCTGGGGACCCAGCCAATACCACACACCTGGCTCAGGGTGGGGCACTCAGTGCCTTAAATTGTTCAAGGATTTTCGCATTCAGTCCCTGGCTGGAGTTTCCCCAGTGTGGGTACAAACACATCCTGATAGCTCTGACTAATGGGGGCATCGACAGCTCTGTGTTTAGAACCCAGCACAGTCTCTGCCTTCATCCTCCTGAACACACCCTGTGAAAGATTTTTCATCTGTGCTCCATTACCTGCCAGGAAAGGCACTGTGACATCCCTCTTTGTTCCTCTGAGCTCTGCTTTCCTCTTGAAAGGGCACGAGGAGGGGAAGGGGTTTTGGGGACGTGCTTTAAATGCCACGCTTCATGAAGGCATCATGCCTTGATAATCTTTCTCCCAGCACCTTTTTCCAGTGAGGGGTGGTCAGGTTTCTGTCAGAGAGCCCCTGTTCATCTCCAGGCGTCCCTCAGCAGGCAGCCCAGCCGTGACACCGAGGAAATAACAGCTTGCCACCTCTTCAGAGGCAGAGTCACCTTGGAGCATCTCTGCTGCCTTTATTTTTCTCCCTCAAAAAATGCTCTTTAGCCTGTTATATATTTCCTTTTTTTTTTTTTTTTTTGTTCCCCCTCAGTGACTAGCAAGATGCAATTTGGTTTTGCTTACACTGCTGTCAAAAATGGAAATGGTTTGGATGCAAATTTTAACCTTAAATTGACTTGAAACAAGATGAAACTGTACAAAAGAGGATCAGCAAACACACAAAAAGAAAAAAAAATCTCTCTTTTTTTCCTATAAGTGACTGCCCTATTATTACATGTGATAAAGTATGTCATTTATTCAGACTACTTATATATTTACTTTATATACTATTTATTCAGAGTAGCCATATATTAGTAAATGCTAACTTCCATTTATTTACTAAATTATTCCTTTCCACTTCTGATTTCCATCAAACTTTGTCTGTGACTTTGACTTTAATCAGGAAAGCCTAAAAATAGAAATCTAAATTTGCAATTAAAGCTTACAGTTTAATAAGTATCTGACATTTTTTTGCAGGCATGATATTGCTGGGGGAAAAAAAAAAAAAAAAGGAAAAAACCAGCAGCTTATTCTAAAGTGCTATTTTTAATTAATGAGTTATCTTTCCAGGGTCCAAATTATCCTGGATTATGGGACTGCTAGCTCTCACTCCTCATTTAGAGCCATGCGTTTTGAGGAAAACAGTTCTGCCAATTTCTCAATACCTCAGAAAATTCTCTACTTTAAATTACTCTCTGAACTGGTTTACTTTAATGAACTGACATAGGGAAAAAAAATACCTTCAAAGCAAATCTGTGTGCCAAGAGGATGTGGCTGGAAAAAGCTGGTTTTAACTCTTCAAACAGTTTAACCTACTCACATTAGAAACCTCTGCTTTTCTGGTTTAAAAGTCTGGGCAACCAATACCACCTCAATTATTTTATTTTAATTCTAGAAAATGTAATGAGTGACAGATAGAGAAGCAAAGGATTTATTAGTTTTAAAATTATGCTGATGCATTTCTCTGATGTCAGATAAATTATTTTGTTTAAGTTAAATTTAATTGAAATATTAAACAAGCATTATTATATTAATGTTAAATGTTTCCTTAGCAAAGCTTTCCTCAGAAATAGATCCCACATTGCAATTTCCACATCAAAATTACACCTTTGCATGTGCAGAGTCTCCCAGAAACTTCATTATTTTCAGCCTAGAGGCTTCCACTTTGGGAGAATTTTAATTCTGAAGAATGCTTAATCTTCCCTATGAGAAGAAATCAGTTCATTGAAAACATAATCAAATGAACAAACAGAAAAACAAACAAAACACCCCAAACAACAACTACTACTCTGTTCCTCTGTTTAAATTTAGTCCACATGGAGATCAAAGTACATTAACACCATCTGAGAGGTGTGCTGAAGCTTTTATTAAAAATTCAGATGAACATTAACGCAGCAATAAATATGATGATGATGATAATATTAATAATAGTAATGATAATAATAGTGGTTACTGGGATTGGTTTGTGTTGTATTCACTCTGCAGAGATTATGGCCATAAAACAAGGAGTTGCAGGAATAAGTGAGCTCTTCATTATTATCATTCCAATAGCTCCCCAATGTGCACTTGGGAAAAAGCCTCAAGCACTGTGGGAAGTTAATGTGAGCACTCTGCTACCTTTCCCCAAAGGTTAATAATCCACCTCTGCACATGTGAAGTACCAGAGGCCCTAATCTGTGCTAAACTAAGGAATTTCACTTTAAATCTTCTTTTCTTCCCAAAAAACCCTCTTGATAAAAGCACACTGGCTAAACTGCAGGCTACGTTATTTTCCCAGCTGAGTCGCTGTGGTGAGACAAGGCAGAAGGGAAAGTCCTGGAGGAATTCCTCGAAGGGGAAAAATATTCCAAGTGAAAATGACAGTCAGAGAAGCAAAGTTTATGGAAAAAGAACCAACTTTCCTTGCCAGCACTGACCACGCAACTTTGGTTGTTTGCAAGAACAGTTTATGACCTTTGTGAGTTTTCCTGCAAGCTTAATTTAGCAGCTTCTTTTGTAGCTAAGGTGAAGTCAGAAGAGGTCACATGTAAGCTGAGGAATCTCACTTGCATAAATTCTGCAGCTTTTATGCAGTGACACCACTTTTGGCATTTTAGCCTCTTCTTCCCTCAGGCCTGCAGGACACAGGACCATGAGTAAACTCAAAAGAAATTGAATAATTCAATATTCTCCACCTTAAACATTCGAAGATCAAGACTTGCCTCCCTCTCCCTATGCTCTCTGCATAGCATGCATTAAGTTTATTTTTTTTTTAAACATGGGGATATTTTTTTCCTAGCTAAATATGTGAAGCCCTCCATTTGCTTTCACAGAAATGTGTTTCAAAAATGTTCTCAGCTCGTTGAACTGGAAACATTTTTTTTTTTTTAATTAAAAAATGCCAACAGAGATCCTCACAAGCATCTGAGAATTTTAGAAGACAGAATAATCTGAAGTATGAGATGTTGCCACATTGTTCCTGGAATGACTTCTACTCTTTGGAGAGAAATTACAGTTGGAAAAATGGGTGTGGTAAACAGGAAATTAATTGGTGATCACCTGTTTTCAGGAAGGAAAAGTAGGCAAGTGTATAAACAACTGTGATTTTAATACAGAATAAACTGCTATTTAATGTTTCTAATTTACATATTTAAAAAGGCATATATAGTGGTTGAGCAAGGTTATTAGTATGGCAATTGTAGTACAGTAATCTAATGTACAATGGCTCTGTTCAGTCTAACTTCCAGTGGAGAACTTTACTGGGAAAAATATACTGGTATTTTCTTTAAGAAATGCACTATTTAATCCTTTGGACTTGGAGATTTCTTCAGTATTCTTGGCTACCTTTTTTCATTGCATATAAAATAGTTCTGTTCTTTCTGAGTGTTGACAGAACAGCTGCATTCTGCTATTTCCACAGAAAGGAAAAGTTTAAAAAATCAGTTTTGTCTCTGGTTTTGGTTGAGAACTGGTTTCTTGTATTTTTTTTCTAAGGAACTCTTGTTCAGACTGTACTGGGTCTTCTGTACAAGTGAGTTTAGTGGCTGCTGCAGGGAGTTTCTGGGATTTTTGCTTGAAAAACACCTAGAATGCTTGCATTAAAAAAAAAAATCAGATTACTCTGCTACAGTGATCACTATCAGGCTTACTCACATCACTTAGACCTAATGATGTTGTCTGAGGGAATTGCAGGTCCTAAATTCTTACTGTGCCATATAACTTGTTTATTGATGTTTAAAAAAGTGATGGGAATAAATAACCCAGTAAACAACAGGAAAAGCAAGAAAGAACTTGCTCAGATTACCAATTTTGGTATTCTTTCTCTTAGGAAACATTAATTTCATTTATGTTTTTTTTAAAAATACTTCGAAAAATAATCCAGTATGTATAATGATATCAACTAATAATACTAGAATATATACATTAATAATGCATTAATATATACAATTGTATCTAGTAATAGTACATGTATATATAATAATAGACAATATTTCATTAAAAACGAGGAAGCTTTCCTCAGATTACCAACTCTGCTACTCTTTTTCTTATGAAACATTTATTTTTTGGCATTTTTGAATCAGAATAATGACTGAAATGTGCTTTCAATTTTTTTGTTGATAAAAACATGAAAGTTCACCCTTGCATTCCTATCACATTTAACTTGACACAAGAATTCAAAATATTAAAGGATACATCTCTGTTGGGAGTGTAAGTTATTTGGATGTTACAAACCATCTAATAATTTTTACAACACTTGTAAGGTGAGAATGGCATCCAATTTGAGCAGTTGTTTGGAGAAAGGTGGCAAACTTTGTCTCAGTGACATAAAGTACTTTAGCAAGAATGAAAAACAGCACTAATACTGCAAGAGAAAGAGATAAATTGAGACCTATAACACAGGAAAAAAAAGTGAATTTTCTCTTTATTTACTGCAGGTGCTGTGTTTGACAAGCCAGCCCCTGGAAGATGTTTTTTCTGAGGTAATCCTTTCCTAACCTTGATTAGAGAAGTGGCATATCCTGCTCTGAATTCATACATTTAATTCCATCCCTGTGCCAAGCACAGGCCAGATGCTTTTAATAGGAGACAATAGAGAAATATAAAATGAACCCACAGCTTTACACTCTTAAATCTGCTTCTGTCGGGCTGCCCTGAAAAATGAAGGTGCCCTAGATTGAGGAGTTTTAAGGATCAGTGCAGCTTTTTTGTCCCAATTCCATCTAGCTGAGGTCATGGTCATGCATCCTGCCCCAGTGTCTGCTGACAAAGCAGCACCAGCCCTCTCTTAATGAGGAATTTTGCCCAATTTCTTTCCTTTTGGTCCCACCCCAGCTGATCCAGCAGATCATGGGAGTGCTCTCTTTGTGTGACCTGCATTAGTTTAAATGTTGGACTGAAAAAGTCTAATATGTCTAATATTGGCTAATTTTCACTGATCAGCCTAGAGGGGATGGGGAAGAAAGGGAGGAAGGAAATTCCCCCTTGTTGCAGAACAGCCCAGCAAGGGGCACTCCTAGAGCCCCATTTTTCATGAAAATTGTTCTAATTAACAAATATTAAAGTACTGCCTGCATGCAGCAGTCATCGCTAGGTTGTTCTGTACTCTTCCCTTTCCTTCTGGTTTTAGCAATGCTGGAAAGCTTTTGGAGATGGCAAACCCCACTCCCCCTGTTTTGGAGATAAATTGTAGGAGAAAATAAAGAGCAAAGAGGTGAAATGACCAAAGTGGCCTAAAGAGATAAAGATAGGGTTAAAAATGAAATTTCCAGAGTCACAGCTCAATATTTTAACCATTCCTTGTTGCAGCATTTTTAAATGTTTCTGGATGCACAGATCCCTTTACCAGGCAACTTTTATGGAATAAACAAATGTCATTTCCATGGGCATCAGAAACAAGTGTCTAGCCCAAGGAAACATAAATGACTTGACAAAAACTATTCCCTGTGTCAGGGACAGAATTACAATAGGAAAGTGGAAATTTCACCTCATAATTTGTAGCATTATTTTTGTTCCCTCCAAATTTCCTTAGACTCCTGTAAATAATGATTTCTCATGCACACTTTAGAGGAACAAAGAATAGTCATTATTTTGAACTGTTTTACTCTTGTAGCTGAAAAAGTCAGTTTATATCCAACTGCAATATTTCCAGCTTCTGTTTTATGGAGTTCTCACCATATTTTTCACCATGACAGAATGCCAGTACAGGTAATGGAATTAATCTAGAAACATATTTGTCTTTATTTTGTTTCAGTATTACTTTGTGTTCTGTTAGTTTTTCAATATTGCCTCATTTCTGAAAGTATGGGGGAATATTTTTAAAGTACTATGGATACTTAATTGTTCTTTCAGTGTGTACTATACATTAATATTTCCAAGTTTTATGACGAGAAACATTTTCCAAAAGGTGCCTTTTCTACTTATCTTTCTAACTTCTTGCCAAAGTAAACTGAAATGAAAATGAAAGGCATATATGAGACACAGATTTCAGTGTAATTTTTTTTCTGATCTTTTCTGGTCCATGGTAAGTGGTTGAAATAATTTGCTTTCCCAACATAATTTTGAACAATACTTCGGTATGAACAAAATGATCATGTCTAAACCTATGTGCTGCCACATTCAAAATGCTTTCAATGTTTACCCAGTCTTGTACATCTTTATTTTACACTGCAATTTAAAAGATAGATCATCCTTCTGCCTCACCCAAACAGGGAATGTTTATTATCCAGAACTTTGCAAGTTTCAGTTGTTTTTTGGAGACATTTCAGTGACACTACTATAAAGAAAACAGGAAATAAAGGATGTGCACTCATTAACCAATAGTCAGCTTACAAATGAAATTTCTGCCTTTCAGAGTTATGTGAAGAAATAAAATTCAAGACTGCAGAGTAAATGAAGAACTTCATCTTATTTTGGCAAACATATTTCTGCATGCTCATATGAATGTTTTCATTATTATGTAGTGTAACAGAGGAACCATTGGAGAAGTTTCCTGTGCTTACAGTTTCAGTCTTTTTTTCTAACTTCAGAAGTTTTACAAAGCTTGAGCTATAAATTATAGAGAGCTGGTAAATTATTCAAAGCAGTTAAGGTAATTATTGATCTTGTATCATACAATAGTTAGTAATACTCAACATCAGTTTATTATCATGTATCCATAAGTGGTTAATCCCTTATACTTTTCCCTTTCCTCCTTAGAGACTGCTGACATGTATTTCCTTATAAACTCTATCAGCTGATAAGTGACACACAGAATATTGGCCAAATTTTGTGTTCAAGTTTCATTTCCATGAAATGTGACTTCTTATTTATCATGAAGAAAGCATAATTGGCCACATAGTGGAAAGTTGCATATGCAATATATATTTTTATTCCAGCAAGCATGACATGTTTTATTATAGGAAGTGAGACACACAGACTTTGTACTTTTGAAGGGTCCAAAAATTAATGGACTTTTCTGTTTTGTTTTCTCAGGAAGTTATTTTACCTTCAAGTGCAGAGGAACTTGGCATATTTGCACAAAGTGTAAGGAAGGAAGCAAAGAGGGAAGAAAAAATCTCATGGCATGTGGGCAAAATTTCTTTCCTGCAGCAGAGCTGCTGGGATTCCTCTGCAGCCATTTGCCTTGCAGGAGAGGAGATTGGAGATGCCGTCCCTGGAGTGAGCAGATGGTGCCAATAATGACTGACACCCCTGGAGCTGTGCAGACACAGGCATCCTCAGCTCCTGGCAGCCACTGACACAAGTTACAGAGTGGGAAAGGACCAAGCTTTCAGCTCCTATTACAGGTGAGGTGCCTAAAACCTGTACCTGCCTTTCAAACCCTTTATTGTGCCTTGTTTTACAGGAATGAGGAGGAGAAGCTGGTAGGGAGCGTTGCCAATGCTTTCAATAATGGTGTGACACAAAGGTAAATGCTCTAACTGGCCACTTTCTCTGTTCTTTGCTAATCTTCGAAGAATGCCACTCCCAAACCAGTTGTGTGCAAGTTGATAAGCAGAAATTATAAATTAGCGACACTGCTTCATGCTTCTAATCAGTGTCATGCTTCCAATAAACAGGAGGGTGCTTAAAACCCACTGATGTTCTTGACCCATCCTCTTTACAGCTCATTTGCCTCCGACTCTAAATGTCAGATTTCCATACGGAAATCAAGCAGCCTCTTTGCATGGAAACCTTTCAAGACCATGCAAAGAGTGAATCCATAGAAAGCTGTTCCAGATGATGGTAATGGGGAGTTCAGTTCATGCATGTCACTGCAAAAAGTGCTATTTAGTAGTTATTGAAATTGAACTTAAGCAATGCAGTCGTTTGAAAGTAGTTTAGGAAGGGCATCTGCTGAGTGGAATTAACCTAAAAATGGATCCACACTGAGGATGTTTTTAAATATAAAAACTGAGCATGTTTTTAAATATATTTTCTCATATCCCTCTGATATCCTGCCTGACACACAAGTTCTGACTGCTAAATAAAATATCCTCCCCTGCCACAAGTTTATAGGAAAGCTGCATTCTATTTTGATAAAATTAAGTTAATGATGACATGAAATCCTTTGAAAAAAAATAGAGTAAGTGCACAATTTTCCATTATTAAGACACTTCTCTGGAAGTATCACATACCTGGTTTCCCAGCCACATGAGCAGCCTTGCTCCTTTCTGTTTCAGAAAACTCACCTGTGTCAGTCAGCAGGCAGGCTCACAGGAGATGCTGAGGCAGAATTTAGGACAGCCCCTGTGTGTGTCCATGCACCTCCTGAAGCTGGGCTGCATCAGGGATGAAGCTGAGTTCAGATTTTCATGCAGCAGAAACAGAACAGGACATATCTTGGCAGGACAGCTGGAAATGGAGACAGGAATTTCTTGGCTGATACCTATTTTTGTGATGTTTATTGCATTCTATTTAATAAGCACTATGGATTATATCCCCCAGCATTCTTGGCTTTGTGGAACTCTGAGAAACAGTGTAAAATTAAATGCTACCAAATGGAACACAATACTTAAGTCCTGGTCCCCATTTTTAAAAGCCATAAATGACTTCCTAACAGACAAATGGGATATTTCAGACATTCAGATTAATTTTCTTCCATGGTGAACAAATGAAGGAGAGCTGAATTTGACACTGAGGGTTTGTATTCATACTCTTAAATAACTATTGTCTCTGTTTTGAGTAGGCACAGTGATGGGGTCTGCTAATTGCAAAAATAAATTGATTTATATCAGAAAAAAAAGCATTGCCTGAAGCAGTGCGTATTGCAAAATACATTTCCATAAAAACCTGCAAAACTGCTCTTCTGTCTTTCCTTTAACAATGGTATTATTACACTTCAGAATTACAATCTTTTAGAGTTGCTAGGTTATAAACTCTTTGTGCTATATGAATTATTCCATGTTATTTATTTTTTTTTTTTTTTGACAGAACACAAGACAATTCTCAAATTACAAAAGCTTTCAGGCTACTTGAATGATATGCTACTCTGGAAATAACAAAATCATTCATTAATAACCCAAATAACAAAAAAATGGGATTTAAGAATGATCAGTCACATCCCTGTTTCCTTCTCTATCTACTGGTAGCATGAATTAGATTTTATGTAGAAATAAATCTCCTTTACTTTTTATAGTAACTGAAAAGTTAAATAGGGGAAATTATGACAATGAAATCTCAAAAAAAGAAAAAGTCTTGAGTAAGTTCTCATGGATATCTTTTAAAGATTTCACAAAATATAAATTTGGGTTAGGAAATATTAGCAAATGTAAGGATATATTATGAAGATCTCATTAGTAATTCAACAGTTTTTGAGGAATTAATAGAATTATATTTTTCCAGTTAAAATAACACAGTAGGCCAATGCAGTAATGACATTAAGTACCAAGGCAAAGAAAAAAATTTTAAAGAGTTCCTAAATATATATAATATAATACTATATACATAAGCTGCAGGTATGATACAGTGATCCACAATGCTCTGGGGAAAGACAAGGAGTTTGGGTAACAAGGCCCTGCTGTAGATTAGATTAGATTAGATTAGATTAGATTAGATAAAATATGATGTAAAATGGTGCTTCAGCAGTCTAGATCATCTCAGTCCTCTGCACAAAATGGTTTCAGATCAGTGAAATCGATGAGGAATCAAAGAACTTCCCCACTGAGATGCTCATTTCTACTTGTAGCAATGGTGCATAGGTAAATGAAAATTATAAACTCTAGGTTCATAATGCCTTGAAACTAATTATTCATCCTAGAAAAGATTGATGACATGTGACAGCCTCTGGCTGAGATGGCCTCATCCAAAGTGTTTCTCCTCTTCCTTTGCTGTCAGGCACAAAGCTGGCATTGAAAGAATTTCTCCATTTGGCTAAGATCTTCCCACCCACTGCTTTTCTCTCCATTTCTTGTCTCTGAGATTGCCAAAAGCTGCCCCAGCAGGGATTCTGGGGTAGCAGGTATTAAATCTGCCTCGCTTTTCTCCTGGCTTTCGAGGTCTTTCTGTTCCCTGTCTGTCACCTTCAGCACTGGCAGTGGTGACATAGCCCAGAGCTGTCCTCATGCTCTGCCATTTCCCTCCTCCCACCCCTCTCCTGATTAACATTTTATATGGGTTTATATATGCCACTGGAAATGAGTTCGCTGTGATCATTAGACTGCAGTTGATCTGATGCATAGCAAATATTTCTTAGAGCTTTCTTTGTTTTAACACAGGGGTTGGATTTATTTTATTTATTTCCCTTCAAACTTTTCGCTGTGCACACGTTGTGCTCTCCTCAGTCCAGAATTTTGAAGCACGGAGCTTTCATGTTTCATAAGAGCTTCCCGAGTTTTATTTTGAACCTTGTTGTTTTGATAGTTCTTTATTCTGTCAGCAATGACTGTAATGGGGTGGTACTCAGGGGAGAGGGAGGTTTGTGCTACAAAAAGTCAGTATTTTTTCTGAGATCCCTTATGCTGGGGTTATGTCTGACTCTAAAAAGACTTGTCTAACCACACATTCTGTCAATCATCCAAAAGAGGAGATCTATATTCAGTCTTCATTCAGCCCCTAGGAGAAACCAGACAAGGCATCCCAACAAAATAAATGTAGGAACTGGCCAGAAAAAGATGGGAAATCCATAGATTCCAATTGTTCTTCTGCTGTAGAGCTGGGCCTTCTGTATGCAGTAAGATAAATACTTAGTTTTTCCACTGATGTATGGAGACAAACATGGAATTACTGTGTCCCACCATCCCTTAAAAAAAGGTAGAAGCATCCCAAAATAAGGTTATACTGAGGAATTGGGAGGGGATGATAAACATAAAATTGCAAAGGTTACCTTCCATCACAAAATAGAAAAGGAATCATTGGTGCCCAGAGGATGGACAGCAAGGGTGGTTTCACTAAAAGCTGTGCTGAAGTCACTTTGTTTATCCTTTCACTCTACACTGAGTACAGCAGGCACAGGGATTTTATGGCATCCAGTCCTACACAGTAAATGACTTCTGCAGCCAGACATACACAAGGCCAAGGTGCTCCATAGCTTGGCATTCCACAAAATCCAACAGACCCACTCAGCTCTTTGTGTTTTATCCCCTGACAAGTTAGAACTCTATTGTGTTGCCTCCACACACATGCAGAGCACTTCTTTCTTCCTAAAACACAGGTCATTCAGCAAATAATAATTATGAATTAATGTATTCTCAAAATAAAATTTAACCATGGCATAAAAAGAGTACAATCCCTCAGGTAGCCACAGCTGACCCACATCCATCCAGGATCTGAGTGATTTCAAATTAGATGTGTGAATCAGCTCCAGTTTCCTAAATGCCTGAGCTGAGGAAGGCTGAAATATGGTGAGTGAAGATACTGGAGAAGGGAAGTCCCTGGAGGCTGCAAACTGAGGGGAGAGGGTTTAGCTTGGTAAACTTTTGAAAATCTGCCTCAAAGTGGAATAACCATTACAGGAACCAGCAAAAAGCACAGCAGATCATATTCCCATCATCATTTTCTGTGCACTGAGCAGGTAATACCTTTTTCAAGTGGTCTCTGAATGGGCTTGTAGTTGCCAGAGGACACAGAAGTTATTGCTTTGGTCATGTTTGACTGGGGCTGCTTTTTCCTTTATTCTTTCTGGAGGGTCTCACAGGTTTATTCTGTAAAAGGTCTTTCCTTTAAGGCCTTCCAGGGGAGGACTGGGATCTTCTGCTCATTGTCTTTCTGTCTGAACTTTTCTTCTTGAAGATTTCTCTCTATGAAAAGCGTATCAATAGCTGTCATATTACTTCTACATGTAATTAATTTTGGTTCTGTAGTTATGGATCTGTGCTTTCTCACTAGAAGACAAATGGCAAAATCACTGAGCTAGCAAAACAGTCAGGAGTTGAGAGGGAGTGGAAAACAAACAAACAAATACAAACCAAATTTCAGTTGAGATAGCAGTGATCTGTGGGTTAAAAAGAAGAAATAAGGTGCACACTTTCAAATAGTAAGTTGGAATCAAAACCTCTGGACTGACATCGATGGAGATTGTGTTGCTCAGCAGTAGGCTCAGCAAATCATCCTAGTTTATCTTCAGTCTGTAAAGTGAATAGAATAAAATTTCATTGTCTTTAAAACAGATGGTGGCTTCCAACCATTTCAAACCACAAGCACAGGGTTAGGAGGCTAACCTTTTAAAATGCAGAGGTGCTAAATATGTTCTGTAGGGAGTGATGGATGTTTACGTGTTGATTTTCTGTTTTTTTTTTTCAGTTTACATATTGACAAGTTTCAGAACACAAAATAAAGACAGGTTGCATATTTAGCCAGACTTGTTTTAGCCCCTGGCTGTCTGTGTACATGATCCCCATTTAAGGCAATTTCATTTTTCTTAGCTGCTCCCTCCTCCAGAACTTCAGGCCTGCTTTAACAGTGCTGCTAATCCCTGCCTCCTGTAAAAACAGCATCTCCCAGGGGAATTGGAATTACAGCAAGAAGCAAAGGCTGCTGCTTGGCAAACTGTGCAGAGACAGAGAGTGATTTGTAAAATGATTACTGGTGCTATCAAGAGTTGAATAACTGCACTGCTTATCACCTAAATTACTTTTAGCTCATACTCCAGGTCATTCACAAAGTCTAAATCTAATACTGCTTTGTCTTTTGTGTCTCAAACCAGCAACTTCAAGAATGTGGTGCTTTGATTGGTCTCATCTGTTCTGCCTATTGGAAGAAACAGCTTTATCATAGGAGGTGAGCTTCTTAAAAAGCAAGTCACTATTTTGGTTCTTAGACATTCATGCCACCTTGAAACCCAAATGCCATGATGCTATGGGCTTGCAATTAGACATGCTCAAACTGTCTAAACTCTCTGATTCTCACAATTTCCAGTTCCCAGACATGACCTTCATCAAGGTGAATGTGGATGGAACACGGTTTGTTCTCTGTGTATTGCTCATATCAAACAGGCACAAGTTTTCTGCTTGTTAGAGATATAATACCCCACGTACCTTTCTGTTCCAGTGGAGGTCACTCAATCAGCTCTGCTTGGTCACACTTTGAACTGAAGGAAATCACATTTTTTCAGACAAAGGCTTTCTCCAACATTTTTACATTTTGAAGTGGTGAGTTCTTCTGAGTTTATCATCTTTTCACTATTTATGGTTGTTTACTTCTCCTTACCTTTTAAGAACAACCAGAATAGAAATGTTCTACTTTTGATTGCAGTTGGTGCCTCAAACAACTGTGCTATCAGGTTCTCACAGAAGGTACCAACCAGGCATTTTTTCTGTGTTAAAGTCAGTTGCTAGCACAAGTTTTTATCCTTTTTTTAGTGGCTTTAACAGCAGAGAGTGATGGAGACCGAGAGAAACACTGCAAAACAGCAAAATGCCATCTTGCCTTCCAAAGTGACCTTCACATGTAGACTGGATGGGTAATTTGGCTGCACAGTATTGGGAAATTTCCTATTTCCAAGTTCCCCAAGCAAGACTACTCTGCAGATCTGCAGTGTTTTATTGGTAAAAAAGATTGATAATCAGATTCCATCTCAGAATGTGACATGATTTTTGTGAGCATTTCACAATGCTGCAGTAACCTGAAAATAAAAGCTGGCAAAGAATAGGGGACTCTGCGTCTGGCAGTGGGACCTCACACTCTGCAGGGTATTTCAGGTTTGATGCCTTCCTTCTTCCACTACACTGAGAAAATTCTGTTGGACAGGGGAAAATAAAAAAAGAAAAAAAAAAGAGAAAAAAAAAAAAAGAAAAAAAAAAGAAAAAAATGTGAAAGGGCTGTCTCAGACAAGGGGGGTGGGTGTGGCTGCAGAGATTTGTGGGTTATTCAGACCTGCCAGGGTAAATTAATCTGCTTTCCCTGCGGCCTGGTGTGTAGATCCTTCTTGCCCTTCACCTGAAGATGAACAGGGTGCCCAGTGCTGGTGAGACCATAACCATAATGCTCTCATAATGTGTAGAGAACACAGATTGGCTCAATTATACACAAGTTTTGGCACCAATTCAGCGACCTGAATTTTCAGTGCAACCTCTGAAAATTTCTAATGTCCACTGTGAGATGATTGTGCCACCTCCATGCCTGCACATAAAGTATAGACTTTATGTAAGGGTCATGGTTATTAAAGGTGGATGATCAGTAATTTTGTCTAATTAGAGGGTGAAGTGACCTCTGGGCCCAGTGATTAAAAGTTCCTTTTCTGTAAACTAAGAATTACTGTCACTGATTTGTATGACAGCCATTCATGTTTTTCTCTGTCATTTACCCAAATATATTTTAAAATAATCACCCTTTTTATAAGCATGTAAGGGTACACAAATTTTAACTCAAATTGCTGTAATTACATCTAATCAAGTCAAATTCATTTTTATTAAAGTTCACACTGTGAGACTAATGAACCTAAAGCACTGAAATCATTCTCATTACACACAGTTTGATCTATTTACCGAATCTGCATTGTTTCATGCCCAGAAGGTGAAAGTAAAAACCCACACCACCAAGATGCAAAACACATCTTCTCAATCATTTCCCCTACATGAAACAGCTCGAACCAACTGTGTTCTAACAGACAGGGCCATGTGAGCAGTGTTTCCCTCACTGGGTTGTAATGTGAAAAAATGGTTGACTGATGAAGGGTGCTTTAAAGGATAATGAAACTGGAAGGAGAAACCTCAGCTGCTGGTGATGGGCAGGGAGGTGATGCAGACAGCTGAGAGACTTCTGGAATTGCTGTTTCCAGAAGCTGCAGAAAAGGTACAGTCATTCTTGCTGGCACACAACTGTCCTTTCGTATTATTTCCCCAAACCCTGTGGGCAGGGAATTATCTTCTAAAAAACCACTCCCAAGGTCACTCTTTCCCTGTTGATCCAATTCCCCCCTCAAACATGAGCTCCCACTGGCCAACAAGCAATGAGGAGGCTGAGGGAGCTGCACTGGTGATGCACAAGCAGCAAGGAAAGTGGATTATTTCCATCTGTACTGGCCTTCACAACAGAGTAAATCTATGCTTTGAAGGACTGACAGATATTACTAAGCAAAGCAAAATAAAATCACAGTTTTTGGGGTTTTTTTTTCCCTAACACATGAGTTTCATCATGATCCCTGTGCTCAAAACCCCAAGTAAATAGATCTTCCTTGTGATTGTGAGGAAATGTTTTGAGGTTCAGGAAACTGCTTTGCTGTTCCCTCTAAAGAACACAAAGGCAGACAAAATCTCTGTCAAATCTCCTAAATTTCATCAGTCAGTTCCCCAAGCAGGGATTACCCATCTACCTCACTTCACTTCCAGAGCTCTCTCTTGAGAAAGGAGCACAAACAGGATGCAAAGGGCCAAAAATTCCAAATAAAAGCTCCTCCACAGGTAACAAAAACTTATTTTGCCACATAATCAATGAGAAGTGTCCTGTGCTAATGACATTTCTGCACCTGGCAAAGAAAGACCACTCTCATTCCATCCTCTTGGTGCCTCCAATGCAATATCCAGTTTTTCCATGGCTTTGCATTCATGAGAAGAGTTATCAAAATAGATTATCTCCTCACCTGCCTGAAGGGAATGGCTTTTATATATCATATTTTGTGTTGGGCAAAATACAGAATTACTTTTTTTCTCCATCAACATTTTCATTGACTTTTTTGTGGTAGTTTTTCAGTCATTTTTAGCCACTGATAATTATGGATTATCCGACACAAATCCATCAATAAAGCATTGCAGATAACTCCTCAGTAATGAGAATACATAAATTCCTCACTCAATAGGTTATGCAATCAGTTCACTGCTTAATAAGAAAACCAAACCTAAGATACTGCAATCTCTACAACAATTCATTTAAAAGGGAATTTATTAATGTTGGATGAGATCCTTGACTGCAATAAATCAACAAAGCCTCCATGAATCAATGGGCTGACACTGAATTGAAGTAGGTGATAGTCATTCTGTAGGTTTAGTAAACAAAAGTTCCTTTGCTATCATGACAATCATTCCAAACTTATTTAAATACTTTGTTTTGCTAAAGAAAAGCTTACTTTATATGTTTATTTAAAATGGCAAAATATTACATCTCTATTTGCAGAATAAAAAGAAATATAAAAAGAAATGTTATAAGAAAATATTATATAAATTATGTATTATGTTATATAAAGAAGAAATAGAATAAGAAATGTTTTTTTGCTTACATTATTCAGTTTCTCTTTCCTATTTGGTTAGCAATGGACAAAACAATCATGTCTCTGCTAAACTGAAGCTGTAGCCCTGTGATATCCCAGAGAGAGGACTCTGTCACCTGGGACTTGCTTCCAACATTCCTGCTGGATTCCTTTCCATGGAAATTGTGTAGAGGATCTTTTATGGAGTCAGAAGACTGATTCAAGCTGTGGACCTGAGGAGACTTTCAGGTTTTACAGCTTATTTTTGACCTTTATGCTGTGCTGTGCCTTTTTCCCCCTCTGCCAGTTGTTGTCCTCAGTGTCACTTGATTTTACTGCATCACTAATGGCTTCATTTTGGGGAGTTATGTGGCTATTTTGTAGCAGACTGCACATTTTATGTCTTACACACATTCCAGAGCTGCAAAGATATAATTTCGCAAAGTCCCACAGCATGTTAGAGCCATTAATCTAGGATTAATGGGGAAAGGGCGAGTGAATGTTTGATTTCAGCATTTTTTGCAAACATCCTGATTTCAGGATGATAACAATATACACATCCCCAAATATATCCCAGCATACATAGCATAAAAAATTAAAAACATCCTGCTCTCTTTGTAGCTCTCTATGTTCAGAAGGCTACAAAATTGTCCCTGGTATGTGTGCTTTCGATTAACATTTTCAATTTCTATCTTTTTCTCCACAAGAACAGGGGGCAGCCAAAAGCAGGGGGAGAAGCCTCCGTGGAGCTGGACCTCTGTACTCGTTATGAGCTGGTTAGCAAGCACCTGCTATTCACCAGCTTAGGAAACAATTGGAAATTCAAGTAACTCTCAGCAAGAACCTAAAAGAGAACATCAGGCAGCCAGCCAGTTTCATATGCCTCATCTTTCAAAGATTTTTGCTCTGATGCTCTCCCACAGCACCACGCACCAATTTTTCCCCTGCTTTTCTTTCTGTATTTTTGAAGTGGAAATATGTTACTGTTTTAAATGTCTCCTAACTGGAGATTTAATGTCCTGTAATGATAAAAATTATTTATCAAGATATGACTTCAGAATAAAATAACATGTTAATACAGAAAGCCAAGCTAAATTTCCTCTTCCAAAGAGCAAAGTGAAAAATCTGCTAGTGCCAAATCAGGTTGAAGACCTGGCACATGATTCCCAGCTTTTCTCAGGTATTTATTGCACTAACAATGTGAAATTAACTTCAATTGTGTAGCAATTTGAGAGGTGCTTTATGAAGAGGGTGGTCCATTCAACATTTCTGATTTAGACTGTTTTAAAAGCAGTGTTGAGGCCCCATGACATCCCCAGACACATAAAACCAAATCTTTTCAGACTCAGCTGAGCCTTTCCTCATTCCTAGGGGTGAAATGTTTCAAACCTTTGAACCTCTTATCCTAAACCAAGTGATCTGATATGAACCTGGAAGCAGGAAAAAGAGTTTCTGTAGTTGGTGTTCGGTTTTCACACCGTTAGGTTTGGCTTAGATATCCTCTGGCTAGGGGTAGTTTGAAATTTTTATCTCAGAGCTTACATTCTACAGGGCTTTGTCAGTTCTAGGGTCATAAACAATAGAAATCCTTTCAGTTTTTCAACTTATTTACCTAAATGTTGCAACTTCTTAATGCTTTTGGGCAGCCTCCACTTTTTTGGCTTTGACTTTTTTCTACCACTTAAGATTTGTGTATATGATTCTCTTCTGGTGAAATGCAGAGATCAAATTAAAAGAGACCAGAATCACGACCATGTGAGTATCTATTAAATAGAAAGTCTAAAGAAATATAATGAATATACACACAAGAAAGGAAAAAAAACCCCTGATACTGAGTTTTATGTGTAGATGGAAAGGCAGTGGGAAGTTTTGACTTCATGTGTGTACTGATGTGGTAAATTAAATTGGTCAGGGTAGCTCCAGGGAGCTAGCAATTTTTTTCCTTAAGGGTATATAAAATGTCATATTTTCATTCAGAAATGCTAATACTCTGCTGCTCTTTCAGCATTTTGTATGTAATATTAACTGCAATTCATTGCAGGCAAAAAAAAAAGTTTGTTTTACTCAAAAAAATTATAATGCACTCCTTAATGTGTGCAGAAAATTCAATCCTGTGTCTGTATCTGAAGAGTCACAGGACTGAACCTCCTCATTGACTGAACTACTGGAGCTACTCCAAATAATCTTCATTTTTCTGGCTTTGCACCCCCTCGCTACAAGGACGGCAGATAACAATTATAACAAAACAGTAGGACTGCACTTGACATGTGTGTGGTGCAGGGTTTCAGGGAGGGGGCAAATGTAGATACAAACCAGAAACTATTTTTTTTAATCCTCTAAATCACAGTTTGTGGTCTCAAAGTGCAGGGTTTACTTTAGCCTGACAGGTCTGTGCTATGTTCAGCCACACAAGACAAAAACAAGTTCCAGATTTGGGGATGGCAGAGAATTCCAGCTCCTTGTCAGTTTGGCAGCAAACATTGAGTCCCCTGGGTAGGTATGGTCCCTTTTTTGCTTTTTAGGGGAATTCAGGGTGGTTTTATTAATGTGTTCTGCCAGGAGCACAGAGGAATCATCATCCTTCCTCTTTTCCTGAGGCACATGGCATCTGAAACTTTGGTCTTTTCCTACACATGGAATGGATGTTTGGAAGTGCTCTGTGACTTGCAGCATGCTTTTGTGTGTGAAGATTATATATTATATATTTATATCTCCTGGTGTGTGCAGGAGACAGGAGTCAATGATACTGGTCAAGGACTAGTTTCCAATCCCATATTCTCTGGTATCCAGGAGTATAAAACAGCTGGCAAATGAAGAATGAATGGTGTTTATCTGGACAAAAGCAGTCCTGAACACTGCAGGTGAGTACCTTTATTTTAACCACTCTATGATCCCATGAGCCAACATGAACAGGCACTTCTGAAGTACAGTGACGCCCACTAATTTAAAAACCTCAGATGGGTCACACCCCCAAGTCAGGACATTCACTTTAAAGGAATTTAAAGACTCTTTAGGTCAGGTGTCGACAGCTACAGCATAAAGTTGGATGACATTATTTCAACCAGTGATATTTGGAATATAAATAAGAAACGTCAAATAATTCCTTTGCTGTTCACTGTCAGGACACCAACTGGAAGGCTTCATCCAGTTTTTTTGACATTACACTTCAGGCAAGGTGTGGACTGATTTAAAAAAAGTCTATAGGTGAGTGAGAAATATCAAAGTTCTTGTCAGCCAGGAACTACACAGAAGAGCTAATGAAGGCTAAGTACAGGTGAAATTTTAAAAGGCCAGGGAAGGAGAAGTTGGGGAAAATAAATATTAATACTTCTCAAGTGTGTGGAAAATTCTTAAAGAGGCTGTGGATTCAACAAGAAAGATAGATTTACCTTACTGCAAGAAAGAATGAAGAAAGATGAAGGTTTGACCAGGGCTTTGCCCACAGTGCAGCAAAAGGAAGCAGCTCCAGAAGACCACTTCTCTCCAGGGTTTCTTGGAGCTGAACTCTGTTAAATCTCTGTTTATTTCAATATTTGCTAGCAGAGGACAGGGAGTAGCTAAACGTGTGCCCGTCCTTGCTCTGTTCCCCCACCTCTCCCAGTCCTGTCTCTCACCCTGGGCCCTCTCCATGCTGCTGAGACACTTTCCCTCCTTCTTCAGCAGCAGACAAAATTTTGGCCCCCAAATGCCAACAGAAACAGGCTCAGGACTCTGAGAGCCTAGCAGAGGCTCTGCCCCACCAGGGGAACTGAAGCACAAATGGGCCCATGAGTTAATAGGAGAATAGAAGCACTCTGCAACTAACTATTCTAACTAAACCAGAGATCTATGATGCTTTGCACAGTCCCCACAGCAATCTCAAGGAATGATGAAACCACTCACTTCCTCTGCTGTTTCTCAAGCTTTCCTGGTGCCACAGCAACTGCTTATGTTGAATATTTAACCACCCTACTTTTACACATCCCAATTTACTGGTGTTCTGACAACTTTCCTTTATCTCTCACCCTTTCATCACTCAAGGTGTGGGGAGAAAAGTCAGTCAGTGTGCATTATGAGCCCACAGAAGTGCAGAATGAAAGAGGAGGAAAAACATGCAAATAACTGGGTTTGACTCCTTGCTGCTAACTCACAAGCCAGAGCGAAAACAGCCAGAAGCTCCCTAAACTGGATAAAAGAATATGTGTGAGAAGTGTGGCTGATTAATTGAAAGGGAGGCATTTAGTGTAGACTTTAACTAGTTAACCATATTTTGTGAAAATTCCTGCATATTTTTAAGGCCTATTTTCAATCCTGCATTCTGGACATATAATTATTTGTATTTTGAACAGTTGCCTGAAGTTTTGTAATGAGTTTCAGCAGGCATAAGTTTTTTTCCTTGATGCTTTGCTGTTCTTTTCACCTAAAAATTCCTTTGCAGACAGATTAAAAAACCAGACATTGGATTAAAAACAAGTGCCTCCTTAAGATTCAAGAAACAATACTTTCATGTTTTCTGTTCTCACATGTACATGTGGAAAATGGAAGCCTTAGGAAGGTGCAGTTTCTTCTTACCTAGAGAATGCCTTTAAGAGAAACAACCTTGAGTCCATGTTTCATTGAAGTCAGCAATTAAATATCTCAGTTTTGTTTTCTCTGGCTGCAGAACTGACATAAATTTCCAGTTTCTGAATTCTTCTACCCATCTGGTTCAGAAATATCTTCTATAGCTCTTTTCCATTGTCCTAGAGTTGAAAAGGAAAGTAGCACTTCTTAAATTCATATAGAATAATGAATGAGAAGAGCAGCTTGTCATTCATTTTAAAGAAGATTGAAGTGGTTATAACACATAATTAATAAATTTAATGAAGTAATTACTTTTCAAATTGATTTCTAATTTCCTACCAAAAGCCAAAAGTTCCCATGGTTATTAATGGAACAGGAATAATTAACAGTACCTACAAATTAAAATTACCCATGCTGTATTGCATACTTGGAGGAGCTGGATAATAAATTTGTTGTGCTCTTTGCATGGAAATGGATCCTAGTTTGAATAAACCTCAAACCACTCATTCCTTCCTATTGATTCTGTCAGTTTACACCAGCATTTTATGCTGTCTCTTGCCCTGAGTTTCAGTATTCTCCCTGCTGCCGCTCTGAAAAAAAGACCTGTGGGCAGCACAACACATCTGGTGACATGGACAGTGATGAGGAAAGCAAGGAAAAACATTAGTTCTCAGTCAGGAACTAATGGTCAGAAAGAGGTCAGAAAAGACAGCTGGAAATATTCAGGGATCACAATCACTTCAGTGATGTATTGTCAAAGCTGTCTTAATTCTCTCTGTCAAAGCACAGCTGTCACACTGAGGATTGTTTTGTTGGAGAGATGTCAGATACCTCACGATATGGCCTGACTTTATAAAATTTACAGTTTGGGGAAACAGTAATATCTTCACTTAATGGCAGTGATAGAATTAGGAAAATGAATAAGTTTGTGAGTCCCTGCAGTGGCAAGCAGAGTTTATAGGATTATCACTTTAGCTAACTGTACAAAGATTTTTTTTTTCCTTTAATGCTTGTGTTTAAAGAAAAAGAACAGAAAATAAGAATTAATGAGAACTTTTTAGGCAGCTTTCTTATCTTGTTGTAAGTAGTTTTTAGACTAGGAGAGCACAGGTGCATTTCAAAAGACTGAAAGGAGCCAGCCTTGTTCAAAAAGTACCAGGACAACTGACAGGAGTATTTTAAATCATTGCAATGCAGTCTCCAGTTTTAGCTGCCATAAACACTGCAGACAGAAATTCCTGAAGTAATATGCATTTATAGAGCTAAAAGGCATCCATTTTTACACTGCCATTGTGAAAAGAATATGGCAGGGCAAATGTTTAGCATGTAAAACCATTCCTATCCTTATTCAGGGTAGACTTGCTATTTATTCTTTAAATTGCTTGCAGCCAAAATCTCTGTGCTTTCCTCTGGTGCTCCTAACTGACTAGGGAGAGTGATGTGTGATGGAAAATCCTCCAAATTTTGTTTCGTTCTTCTGGTTTGACTGGGCAAGCACAGATGAAGCAGATTGACAGGACACCAGGCTGCATGTCCATGTGAGCTGTATTTCCATCTGGGTGGCTGCTTCTTCCCCATCAAGCAGAGACCTTTTTGTCTGTTTCATTTCAAGTATTCCACAGCACAGGAAAGTGATTCAGGGGCAGTTATTTGTCTGATTATGTTGCTTTGTAATGGTACTAGTTTGATACTGAAAGCACATTTATTGACTTAGAACCTGAAGTCTGGACAAAAAGTGTCTATATTTTTTGTTTTGTTTTGTTTTCTCAGGCAGAATCCTATGCCAATGGCCAGCTGGGTGCTCTGCAGGTCACAACTGTTTCTGTTCCTTCAGGAGGCACCACATTTTATTTCAGCAGCCTTACCATCCCACAGCCTTGTTTTACCTCTCCAGCTTCTCTCTGTGTGAAGATTCAACTTTTCCCTTACTTACTTTACTTTCCCTCAACTTACCTTACTTATCTTATTTGTGTCCTGGTGTCATTTCCTGCCAGCTGAATTACAGCTTTGAGCCTTCTTGTCAAACCACAATATCCAACTCATGTAGGCTCTCCACAATCCTATTTCTCTTCCCACAGTAAGAGGTGTTCCTCAATAATAGAAAAATCACCTCCATACCCACAATGGCATGTTAGGATCTTAACTTTCAAAATTTACTATTCTTTCAGTCTTCATTGTCAAAATTTAAATTTAAAGCCACGGGTGTCCTAAGGGTTTGGATATTTAAAAATTATCTCAACAAAATTACTATTTTCAAATGTCAAGAAGTTCCAAAGTGATGTAAAAATGCTTCTATTTGGCTGCACTGCAAAAAAGTGGAATTTTAGTGCACATTTTGGTTAGAAAGCAATCCATTTGAAATCTCCTTTCATTTTTTTTCCCTCTGGCAAAAAGAGTTACTGGAAAAAGACTTTCCTTCATTGGTGTATCATATAATAACAAGTAAATTAGAACTAAACAGGTTCTAATTAATCATTTCAGGGTTACTTGATTGACCACACAGTCCATTCCTTGAACAAATCAATGCAAGGGTTAGGAAGTATTTTAAGTTAAAGCTTTTTTCGGACTATTCAGAGAAAAGGAAGAAGGCACTGCACTGGAAGGAACAACTGCATTGCCCTTTACCAGCAAATTCATTGCTTGATATTGCAGATTTTTCTACCTCTTGACCCTGACACAACCATTTTTGGGAAAAAGCACTTGGTCTGTAGTAAGCATTATTGTCACTTCCAGCGTTTTGCACCATGGAAGTGGAAATAGGAAATCTTTCCTAAACTGAGAGCTCTGCTGAGTTTTGTGTCCTGGCTTTGCATGGGAAGCATTTACAGCATTTGGGTGTTCAGTCCAGAGCAGATTTAAACTGGTCCAAAGCAAAACAAAAAACACAGTCCAGGAAACTTCTCTTCCTAAATGAACTGAAGACTCTTCTAGAGGAGGTAAACTGACTGAAAATTTAGGTTATGTTTCTTTACATTGTCATTGGGAAAGAAAAGGTTGTAGGGGGAGAAGCATCCTGAAGGTTTTGTTTTGATTCTTATTACATTTTTTTCTTGTAATTACTGTTAATTAATTTCTCTTTGTACCTTTTTAAAGTTCTGAGCCTACAAGATGGATAGACTGGGAAAGTGTTGGAAGCCTGTCAACAGAAGTCTTTTAAATTAATTACCCAGTGAAAGTTATGTGATCCAGAGGGCAGTTTGGACTGTATTTAGGGATTACTTGGAAATCAAATCAAAATGTAGCAATTTGTAAGCAAGGTGAGTGGCTTTTCTTTCCTAATTGAAGATCAAAGTCAAAAACCTGATTCTTAAGCCTGAACTTTGGCAATTGTCTAAATTGAGGCATTAAGGCATTTCATTTTCTCTGCAGGCTGTTTTTCCCTCTCAGAAGCAACTCCCTAAGTCTTTTAGACCAGAATTAAAACAAGCACTTGAAGCATCTCCCAGTGAGCTAAAAGGCATTGATTTCAAGTTGTTTTTGTTTTTTTTTTTCCCAAGAGCTTTAATTCCAGACAGCTGCTTTCAAAGCACTGTGAGTGGGAGTCTGGTCCAGGCTGGCTGCATTTGGTACACAAGGGGCTTTACTTCCACCTACCAATAATTCCATTGAGTCTCCTCCAAAAATCTGTTTCATAATGACAGAGAGCAACATTAATCTTTGTAATGCTGAAAGGTGTGCAGTGGTGTTTTCAGATTTGTTTATGTAGCAAAAAGCTGTGTTTTTCACATGGTTAACATGAAAGTCACCTCAGTGGCTGTGAGCCCACACTGACTATAACACTTAAAGCCACAGTGGTATTAATAAAATATGTGTGTGTGATCATTAGCTCCTTCCTGATCATGACCCCATGCAGAAGCAGGATTTTCACACTGAATAGATAGCTATAGTCTGCACCACATTGTGCCAGTCACAGTTTCCAGGTTGTTTTCCTGAGAAGTTTGACTGTGGAAAATAGTAAAATACAAAATAAAAAATCAGGGAATGGCGTTATCAGTCCTCCTCCCAGCTGCACTCCAGGTTTGGAGGAGCCAGCTCAGAGGGTCTGCAGAGATTCCACACCACAAAAACAACCAAATAAAGGGAAAAAACAACTAAATAAAAATACAAAAATTACAAATTATAAAACAGCAACCCAAACACTGGGTGAGAGGAGAGCAGGGCAAAATTCTGAGCTGGGTGGAGCTAATGCCAGGTGGGGGTTTGTGCTACAGACTTACATGAGAGAGAGAGACCTGCAACATCTTGACAAATGTTTGTGTGGAAATGTCAAATTCCACTCACTAGCAATGCTTTTAAAAATTCTGACCCTCTGCTGTGAGGTACTGCTGCCAGCACAGCCTCACTGCCTCTGTTCTTCACTCTTAATTGGGAAAATCCCTTGGGTGTCAAGTTTGCAAAACCTTCCCTCCCTATAAACACAGCTAAAAAATGCTTTGTAATTCTCCTCTCCTGTATCACGCAAATGCAGAGCTGGAGATGCTGCTAAGTTTTATTTTCCATTGCTCTACACATGGTGAATATGCCAATTTTTTGGTTTGTGACTTGCAGCATGGGCACAAGTCTTCCTGCTGCCTCTTGGAACATTTCACTTTTTGGTTTTTTTTCAAAGCTTTCCTACAAAGAGGCTGCCTGACTGGTGCTAAGGTATTTCAGGCAACTGACAATCTGAAATGCTGCCAGCACAGACTTCTGGCCAGCTCACAGCACAGGTAGGTGATCCTGTATTGCTCTTTACTTTGTGTTTTTTGCTTATTCAAAATGAAGCCATGAACAGGCTCTGGTGGGCCACAAGGGATGGCAAAAAGGTGCGCTGATATCATGGGGCAGTGGCATGGCAGAGGAACAAGAAGATTTTCTCTGCCTCACTGATTTTTAGTAGACTCACATACAAGAAGTACAGGACACACAAGGGCAAAAGGGAGATATTGCAATATGTGGGGATCAATAGCTGGAGCACTGAAAATAGAGTGGCAAAGAGTTATTTTGAACTCTTTCTAACAGGGGAAATGAATAGGGAATCAGATCTGACACTGCCAGGCTGACTGAGCATTGCCATTTTCCCATCATGATCTATTTCATTTGGGAACACCCCCAAAAAAAGAGTCATTTGCACAACCTGATTCTACATGCTGTCTCTGGATTAAAGTTTTTCTTTTTCCCCTCAGATTTGGGATTTTATTAAAGTGTCCTCCCACCAACTAATGTTTTCTTCCTTTCAGAAAGTGACATTTGTGATGCTTCAAAGATGCAGTGCTCATTCATATTAAAGTCACTTCAACACTGTTACCCAGCTTTGGTAATAAATGTGATTTGGACCATCATATTTTTCTGCCTAGTGGAAAATTACAGGCAAGGTTGCAAAGATGACAGCATCCAATTTATGGAGTTCCCTTTGCAGGGTCCTTGAACCACTCCATTAATACTTATGTAAATACAAATAACTTCCAGTGTCATTGTCAGCACATCATGTTCCTATCAGCTCAGGGTAAATATTTGAACCCAAAAAGGTTGTTTGGTAAGGTTAGGCCCTTTGATGTGCTTAATGATGCATCCATGAGCTCAACATTTGCTTAGATGCATATTCAATTGTGGGTATAAAATATTTGCTGGATTGGCACTGAAAGCATTGTAAACTCAAGGTAAATATCATGCATCTGTGTACAAGTAAATGCATGCAAATGCATGCAAACATAACACAGAAATCACATCTAAACACATATTCATTTTCATAGTTAATATTTTAAATAATAGGTATGTTAATGTTCAGACAGGCTTCTATAATTAATATATGTATGAGCTATATGGTCCTTACCTACAGAAGGCTGATTTAAGTGCGCCAAATTTTATTGCAGAAATGTTTATTTTATGGCAAAAAAAAACCTCTATGGGGGAAAATCTTAAAAATAATGGAAAAGCTTTCAGGGTTGTGATGGCTGGGGAGATGGAAGTCAAACAATGTTGGTTGAAAAAATACTTTTTTTTTAAAGTCAGGTTATTGTCATAGCTGGTTCTCCAGTGCCCATATCAGTAATGCCTCATTCATAAATGGAAAACCACCTGAAATATTTGCATTTGTAAGATTTGAGCCTCATAACTGCAGGCAAATGTGACAGGTTGTAAACAGCTGAGCTGTGACTTGGATTTCTGTTCTTTCAGGGTGATACTTGCAGCCAGGGGAAGGGCTGACATCACAGACAGGGAATATCACTCTCACTCCTGCTCAGAACCTTTTGTAACACAGTCAGACACTCCCACTGTAAATTATCCCACGCTGCAAGGAACACACATTTTCTTTACTTTTCTCCCAAATTCACTCACCTGGTTACCACTGAAGGCTGTGATGAAGAATTTGGTTGACTCTAATGCTGTCTCAAATGCTGGCAGAATATTTTGTTTGCAGCAGAAAGTCTCTTGGAAGAAACTCTTCTGGCACTTTACAGAGCAAATGAAACTACTTATCTCTAAAAGTGTTCCATTTAACTTGAAATACAAATAAATCTTACCAAAAAATCAACAATATCTTTCAAGATGAAGTAAGTGGTGAAGGCTTAGGAGGACACATAAAGATACTTCAACAAGTCCTATTAGAAAAAAACCTCACTCTTGCATTAGGAACGTGATTTATTAAAATTTTGTTTCTAAAATTCAAACTGTGGCACTTACAGGATGTTCCCAAAGGATGTGTGTAATGCTAAGATCAGTTTTTAAAGCTGATGGTTTCCACTCACTCTGAAAAATAATTCCACTTTTCTTTTCTCTCCTTTGTCTTTTTTTTCTTTTTGCATTGCCAGTAATAGCTCTCAATATAAGTTCTCCAGAATCCATCTCAAACAAGATGATTGTATCCTATGAGCCATGAAAAGTTGATATGGGAAAAAAGAGACACAGGAGAAGGTATTTTATTTTTTTATATTGGCTTGGGATATTTTTAATAAAGAGGATCACTTATTTTCCAGTATATCAAAGATGAAAACGTGCTTACTGAAAGATGACTCTATAAGCAGAAACTTTTACTTTAGGTTTCAACAGTGCCATTTCATTTTATTCTAAAAATTTGCCTTACATTAGGCTGGGAGCCAGGAATAAAAGTCTGATTTTTATCCTGCCCATGCTTTTGTCACAGGCTGTAGATTAATAAAGATTATAGCAATGGTAGAATTGCACAGCAGCACTAACAAGAGATATCACTCAGCCATGGTTTCACTATGGAGGATGGCAATATTGTGTGTAAAATAAGCCATTTTCATTTAAATGAAATAATTAATTTTAAGTAATTTAAATGAAAAGGTTAATTATTGAATTCCAGACCTCTTTCAAATACATAATATTTATAATATTATACAAGTATTTATACTTTACCCTGAAATAAAACACCAATAAGAATGACGAACTGCTCTTTTGCCAGGCCTGCCTCTGTGTAATTCTGTTTTTATTTCCAAACTGCTCATTTGCAAGGCAGAGAGGAAAGGAATGCAGTCATGTCCAAATGTCAGCACAGCAATATGCCAGTGACCCAGCACAGGGCAGGACTAAATTTCATGCTTCCCTGAATTGCAAATAATGTACAGAGCTATCACATCACTGCTTTAATTCTTATTAAATTGGCAGGCGTTTGACCCAGAAATTTGCCATTTAGCACTCAAAAAAAAAAAAAAATCCTTCATTACAGGATCTCATAAGGGATTTTTTTTAAATTTCTCCCAAACAATCAAATTATGCAGAAAGTTGTAAGTTTTAAATGGAGAGTTTGGTTGTAGTTGTTGTATCTGAGACTTTGTCATTGCAGGACTCACACTGCACATTGCAGATGCATTATAAAATTGTAGAAATATCATTGCAGTGATCTGATTTGAAGTGGGTTTAAAAATCTTTTTCCCTGTTTCCCTCCCAAAAAAAAAAAGCAAACAAATTGAAGAAAAACCCCAAAATTAATATTTTATGAAGAAAAACACCATCTTACTGCTATTGCAAACTCAGTAGCCTAAGTTGGTCAGACTAACACTGGGAAAAGTTTGCAAAATTTAGTCATTTGTGTAAAAATGTTCAGCCTGTCTTTTGCTTAAGTATCCATAAGCACAGAGCTATGTCTAACACATTGCTCAAATGCATAAAGCTCCAAGAAGTTGTGGAATTCTCTCCAGACCTTCCCTTTTGTTTGGAAACATCAACAAAATTTAGGCCACTCTTGAGATACCTGATTATGTCTTGCTCTTAAATATCTTAAAGGGTGGAGGCTCAACCTTGTCCCTAGGCAAGCCATTCTGGGTTTTTCATTGTTTTTGGGTGGAGGCTCAACCTTTTCCCTAGGCAAGCCATTCTGGGTTTTTCATTATTTTTACCACTGGAAAGCATTTTGTTCTTACTTCTGAATCTCCCTTGTCACTGCTTACTTTAGTTCTGCCTCCCATGATAAGGGACAAGGGTCTTTTGTCTCCTTTCTAATAGCACTTTTTACCTGTAGGACACAAAACTGGATGGTCTGATGCCTCAGAAGTGCCAACAATCCACTCCTATCACTGGAGTCAGGGGAGTCTGAAAGAGCTTTTGCTGTTTACCTCAAGCTACTTTATTGGATGACCTAATTAGAACTTTGGACTTTAAGAATTCAAAAACTTCATCCAAACCACCTCTGTGCAGTAGCATAATCTTGCTAATAAAACCCCTGAAAGTTTCACAGCATTCTTTAGTCCCTGTTGCACTCACCAACAAGATGAGTCCCTAAAAGCACCCTGAAACACAGAAAGACTACAGAGGTATTTTTAAAAACCCCCACAGAGCTGTCAAGAAAGGAAAGCAGGGAAAAAGAAAGTTGCCAAAACTTTGCTGGTGTGAAAAACCTGAGAACGGCCATAGCATAGATAGGTCTGTGCAAGGACCAGTCTAAAGCAGCATCTTGGTTGTGTCCAGCAGCCAGTGCAAAGCTGTTCAAGCTGAGCTTTAAAATGATCCATGATAAATTTTTGAAATTTAAAATGAAAAAAAAAAAAAGCCCAAAGAACAACAGCAACAACAACCCCAAAAACCCCAACAAACAAACAAAAAAAAAACCCCAAACATTTTCTTATTCTTCTTTACTTAACAGAGAAGAGCAAAGACCAGGAAAGGAATCCATTCCCTTGAGGTCAAAGGAAAAACAATCAGGAAGAATTGAAACTCCCACAATTGCTGCTGCCCCATAGCCTTTTCTCTTTCAACACAGACAAAATTCCTCATGGGTCTGTTTGTCCCAATATTTTGAGGCAAGTGATCATTTAAGTTCTGCCTCCCTTTTGTACTCTCTGACTTGTCACACATCTGCCAAGCTTCAAGAAAGCTCCTACTTGCTCTGAGCACTCTTTAAATCAAAGATGGGTGACGTGATGAGTAGGTGAGATGTTTTTATTTTTCTGTTATTTTTGCTTCATGTCAGGCTTGGAAGCAAATTCACCCTCAAAAGGATGTCTCAGACGGAGTTAGAGAAAGAAAACAAAACACCCACAGGGTTTTAGTGGCAAAATCCAGGACAAACAGGGTAAAAGTGTCACAAATATGTGTTAAAGGAGTGGCCACTGCAGGAATTGCCAGGAGGGTTAATACCTGTGCCACTTTCACCATTGTCACCAGAGCCATTCTGAGAGTAACCTTGGAAGTCACTGGGAGCTGCAAATTCAGTTAGAGTGATATTTTACCACAAGATTACATTTTTGTAGGCTAGAGTATTGTAAACTTTTTTATTCCACCATAAAACATTTTAAAATTAAATAATCAAGGCTCAAAACTTTAAATTACATGCCTCCTGCATGTATTTAATTACATGTGGTGTAACAGTGATTAAAATTTAGGAGGCAGAAGGGAAAGGTGCCTGCCTGCAGCAATTACATGTGGGATAAAAGCAGTTTAATACCAGTCAAATTTCACATCAATGACTTTGTAAAAATTCATGGAAAACTGCTGGAGCAAGTAGTTATTACTGCTATTACAGTGCAACATTAAACAGTGGTCAAGGAAAAGAAGCTTTTGAAATAAGAATAATCTGTAAAATATGGGCCAACAGGATTTTATTCAGTTGCCTGTTTTTTCCTGTAGGGTGATACAATGAAATCTGTCAAAATTGGCTATCACTTATTAGCAGGTAAGTGTCCCAAAAATTTTGAAATAAATATTAGACTAAGTCTAATGCTACATATTTTCTTAGTGCTTCTATTGGTTTGTCATGCTGAACTGATGGTGGTTTGTGTTCTCTGCAGAAAGCAGATTAATGTGTTAGAGGATAGAGAGGAAAACAGAATTAACTCCAAATTTGTGGGCTGAACTTTACCTGCATGAAGGACATTTGATCACATCACATTTGCCAGGCCAAGACTGCAAGAAGACTCCTCCAACAAGCAGGAGTTCATAGCAGGAAGGACAAAATCTGCTTGGAAGCTCTGATCAACACCAAAAAAAATCACAAAATTGCCAAAAACCAGTTCAGTTCTGTTCAGATGCCAAAAAAACCAGCCTTCAGTTCTGATCTGACAAAAAAAGCTCCTCACTGCAGATTGTTCTGCTGATGGCTCCAAAGTGTAAATGTGTAATGAAGGTAAGGACTGGCAGAGTGATGGTGAAGCCCCTCAGATTCCTGCCACCCCAGTTTGGTGGATTCAATATAAAATAGACACATTATTCAACAGAGTATAAAATAAAACAAAATAAAACTTTGCTGCTCCCAGAGCACAGACACTCCATCAATGCTCCTGTTTCCTGGAAGCACCAGCCTCACTTAACCCAGTGTAATTGCACATTATAAAACCACAGCTGGGCCTCCAGTGGAGTAATCTGAGCACAATTTACCAGTAACATGAGAATAATTCTTCCAGCTCAATAATTCTTCCAGCTACAACCTAATGGCTGCAGGTCATAGTGGTGTGGGTGCTCAGCTATAGCCAGCATAGTCCAACAAGAGCACCAGGCTGGTCAGAGATTTCCAGGAAAAAAAAAAAATCCATAATTTACACTGTTTTCCACTCTTTTCTTCATTTTGCTTGCTTTTGCAAGTGCTTTGAAAAAAGCAAAGAGGGTGTAATTGCTGTCAAGGCATTTTGATGTTTCAGGTTTTCATTTTTCTCTGTTGTATAGAACGCATTTTTCAGGTGGGACTGTTCATCAGGGCTCCAATAGTCACAGCACATTTTGCTCACTTTTTCTCCCTTTTCTTGAAGCATGTGGATGCAAACTTGGCAAAGCCCAAAACTGCTCTGAAAATGATATTTTTGTGGCCTCTTAAGCCACAGCTCTTTCCACATTGAAAAAAAAGGTCAAAGAGTATCTGATCTGCAGTTACCAATATCCCAAGGTCAATTTGAACTGGAAAACTCCAGGTTTTAATCCCATGTATTTCTCAAATCACTCTTAAATCATGAGGCAAAAACCCTTTGGTTGTAATAAGGACAGGATTAGATTTTAACTCACCTGTCCTAGATCCTCATTGCCTCCTGCATGTTAGAAGCCAGATTTTCCACAAAATGCCAGCCTAATATTCCCTTTTACATTCAGCACCTTTTTCAGCACTCCTGCTGCTGTTTGGTGCAGATAGTTTGGTATTCAGCATCCAGAGCAATAAAACAAATTTCCTTAAAGAGCAAAGCTCCACTGGTGAGGCTCTTTCTGAGCTATGTGGTCCTAAGGTCCTAAATTCTAATTTGGGTCCCCAGGGTGCCTAAATATGGCTTTATAGAAAGATACAGCATTCCCTCTCCTCAGGCTCCCTCCAAACCACACCTTTGTTTCATCATGCAGCATGAACAGCAGTTCTCACACCTTTAAGTATGAAATTATCACCTAGAAAACATTCAAGCTTAACCTGCAAATCTGGGATAAAATTCTATCCCCTGTTGTGGTCTCAAGGGCACATGAACACTGGCTGGCTCTGGTGTGACATGGTCACAAAATATAAATTCAGATAGTTGCTACCAAAGGATTTATTCTGCCTTCAGCACACAAAGCAGAGTCCCAGGAAAGAAAAACAGAGTAGAAGCATGGCAGCATTTGTAGCAGATCTGGGCTGAAACAAATGTGAGGTTAACAGGTGAAAGAGCTGATGGAAATGGGATATGACTGCATTAGTTCCCCTATATGTTTTATTTCCCTGCAGTAGAATGTGCGTTCAAACTATGTTAGATATCTCCCTGGAAAGATTACACTGTGGAGGAAAAAGAATTAATTTAAGATAAATGAATCACACTGTGAAGTATGTCTTTTGAAATCTCACTCTAACAAATAAATGTGCTACAATCAGCTTTCTACTTAATTCTTAATAGACAGTGGGAATTCCATATTGGAATCAAATATTTGACTCAATTTTACTGCTGTCAGAAAACATAAAACACCTTTCCATGGGCTCTTTTGAAATCAAAATCAACAGTAAAGGGAAATTTACTGTATTTTTCAGTGGTGTGAAGAAATAGCACCAGGTTTCTTCATGGGAATTGTGAAATGCAAATGTGTGAGCAATGTTATTTGTACTGGTAGCTCAAGCCTTATATGCCAGATCTCCTTACTTCTTAGTATGCTTTCATTATTTTCTCTTTGTCACTGCAACCTTGTCTTCAGGAACTGAAAGCAGAGAAAATACATTTCCTGTTCTACTTCTTGAAGACTTCTCAGTTGGTCAGGACAGGTCTCAGTTTTCACCAGGACACACCAGCCAGGAGGAGACAGGATGGATCAAGCATCTCTCAATCACATTTCTTCAAAGCAGGATGCTTGAACAATGGTAGAGAAATCCTTTCTTTTCTTGAGTGTTGAGCTATTGGCTTTTGTCACCTTGAAAGATATTTTTCTCATTGTCCAGTGTAGAGGAAAAGGTTCTGTTTAAGGCAACATGACTTAAAATCACAGGATGCATAAATAACATGCAAATCCTCCCTCCCTTTTAAACATGTGGTTGTCCCAGGAATATGGATTTTGAAAGTGGTAGAAATGCGGAAGTTTGATTACAAAGCAGGAATAATGGGGATTATCCAGCATCGTGTAGCACATTATCCAGGTATTTTCCCAAACGCATAAAATCCTGGAAAAAGTCTCAGGAAAAGGCAGGCTTGGGAAACCCCAATAAGGCTCACCACATAGGAGAAGTGTCGGATCTCAGGATCTCAGTCCTGAGGTGCTGAGCCACCGAGACCACCTTGGGGGGCTCGGGAGTCCTGG